TGTTACCTTGGGGTGAGAAAGAAATGTGCCTCCGGCCATCTGGCTTATCTCTCGCTGCGGAAGGGAAGGTGCGAAGACCCAACAACACCTTCACAAGCATGGGAAAGGACCCCGTTATCAGCTCCTTTCCCACAGTGGACTTAACTTCTGGGGATTGGCCCATTCAAACTGACCGGATGAACTATTGGAGTGAGATTATGCTTGGGACTCTTTTAACCTATTGATCTGAGAGGGAAACTCTCAGATCCTGCCTATCATGCCTGCTATCAGCTTCACCTAATAAAAGTTCCTTTTGGAAAGAAACTGTTCCAAGAGTCCTGCTTTCTTGGGATGAAGTGGGCCCTGACACTAAAGGAACTCTCTTCAAGTAAATACTATACTCCAGCTAGTGAATTTCATTCATATATATATGTGAACCCTGGGCATCATATTAGCCTAAGTTAAAAGAAAGAAAAACAAACACCAGGATAGAATAAACCAGACTGTTTAATGTAAACAAGCCTGTGGTTAAAAAATCACTAAGCTTTCATCGGCCAGACTGCCGACATCGTCAGAGTTGGAGTAAAAGGAGATTTGGGAGCCAGCCTATATAATGACCTGTCTCTGCGCCTGGCTTCTCGAGCGCGTCATCGGCCCGTTGATTGTGCTTGTCCGTAATGCGCAGAGTTGCTCCGCATCTGGCAGCCTGTCCCCGATGGTTGTTCTTTGATCCTCAATCTCTCTTCTGGAGCGTGTACAAGCACCTGGGGGTTGGCTGTCAAAACATCTCTGTGCCTGGTCTCCCTCCCCTCCCCTCTTGGGGGGATCTCAGATGCTGTTTCTCAAGCTGCGATTAGGGCACGCTATCGGGCCATTATCCTCCCCCACCCCCAAGGCCGCTGTTATCCTGCCCGTAACTCCTCCGCCCCAGTCCTGCAAAGGACGGCTGTTCCGGCATTCCTGTTCTCCGCCTCCCCCCTCCCCCCAATCCAGATCACCTCTGCACATCTATCCCCGGCTCACGGCCATGGCGCACCATTGGTCCATCATCCCCTCCTATGGAAGTCGTAGCCTATCGCCCCAATCGTTTAAGGAGCTGTCCCATTGTTTCGATCCCTGGTTTCTCTCCCCTTTAACCAGGTCATCGTTCTCTCATTCTGCCACCCCGATCCTGCAAGGGACGGACTAGCTGTCTCCTCCGTGGATCGCAGCGCTGTCTCTCCCACCTTCCGAGTGTGCCCCCGCCCTGCCAGGCAAGCGGAGCCACGGGCAGCGGAGGGCACGAAGAGCCCCGATCCCAGCACAGTCCCTCCCCATTCTCCTCCTCCCCCCTCAGAAGAGCTGCGGGGTTCAGGAGCCTCCCCTGTGCCCCCCACTCTGCCCTGGTCCCCAGGGCTTGCTGGCCACCTTTCTCCACAAAGGAAGGAGATGAGCCACCTTGGCAGCAGCTGCTGGGCATTGGATGGGCATTTTTCTAGTCCAGCTCCTTCCCCCTCACACATGGTGACATGAGGGTAAGACAGACCGTGCCACTTTGGTGCTGCTGAGCTGGCACCCCTGACTCAAGAGGGGGGATCCCCCTGCCCAACGTTCTGTGATTAAGAGACTCTGGTAAGTGTCTGGGGGGGAGTCAGAGGGGCATTGAGCCCACCCAGATGGCCTCCAAGGACTGTTTGTATCATTGAAAGTTCTGTTATTGTGTTTTTGGGAGGTGGAGTGAGTGGGGGATTTTTATTTTTTGCCTGGTTTTGCTATTTTAAAGAGAATGCACCCCAATGCCCCCCTGCATAGCCAGAAGCCTTGCGCCATCGCCGTTTGCCTGCTGCGTTCCCCCAGCCCTTCTCTTTCCCTTCCTTTGAAACAAACAACCCCCCAATCCTTCCTTCCTTTTGAATTAAAACAAGAGAAAGCCAAGTTTTTTCTTTTGTGGTCTTTACATATTTAAACTGCAGCTAGAAGGAAGTGGAGAAGAAAACCACCGCGAGACATTCTTCTGTTTTAACTTTTTTTCCTTGTTGCTTTTTGGAGTTTTCATCCTGCTTTCGTGAGAGGGCAGTGTTTGGGAGGGGGTGTAGCTGCCCCCTTCCCCCAAGCCATCAGCTGAGCAAGACGCCCTCCTGCCCACCCACTAGAGACCCCCTGGATCTCCCCCAACCCTGCCCAGCCCCCACAGGCATCCGTCCCCAAGAGCAACATTGAGCTGGCCACACCCACCCTGGCCACACCCACCCAATCTGCCATGACCACCATAGCCATGCCCATCCAGCACTTGGCGATACATAAGTGGGTTTGGGGTTGCAGTTTGGGCACTGGGTCTCTAAAAGGTTTACCATCACTGTACTAGGATGACTCCTTGCCTAGTGTGCTCCTGCCTCCAAGTCCAAAGCCACTCAGGGGGCAAACACAAACTGAAAGTATGAAAGTAATTAAAGTCTCGTCAGTTACAGGCAGCAGTCATGAATAAGTTAATTAAGTTCACAGAACTGAGTTTGTTAATTTGCACTTAACACTGTTTAGAGATGCACTGCATTGTGGCCAAAAGCAGCTCAGGAAGCCTATTTTTAACTTTGAATGGTCACTGACCAGCTTTCTCCAATGTGGGCATCTTCCAGATCAAGTCTCAAAACTGTCAATAGTCACACATTTGGAAGTATAGAGTGCCTCCATTTTTCTTATGGTATTACTGTGTTTGTTTGCTGCACAGTATATATACACATAGCCATGTCTAAAGATAGCCATGACTATGCTTTCTATTAAATTAGAAAAATATGCATTAGGGCACACACATCAAATTATGAGTCCTTTATTATAATTCAATGTTAGGCTTACTTATAAATCAGTATCTGTTATTTTTGAGATGATAAGTTGATTAAAATTTAAATAAAAAAATAATTATTCCATATTTACTTTTATAATAAAATTACAGTATAGCAATACCACTTAGACTTATATACCACTTCACATTGCTTTACAGCCCTTCCTAAGCAGTTTACAAAGTCAGCATATTTTCCCCAACAATCTGGATCTTAAATTTACTGACCTCGGAAGAATGGAAGGCTGAGTCAACCTCAAGCTCCATCAGGATCAAACTCCAGACTGTGGGCAGAATTACTCTGCAATTGTCATGGATCTGCCACTGAACCCCTCTCTGGACACAAGTTTAAAAGTATGAGTCTATACTTTCTCCCGATCCAAGGAGAGGAGACATGTACAATGCTGGTTGGCTAGACTAATTGTGAGGAAGCAACCTTGCCTCTCGTGAAGGGCTACACCAGCATCACCTATTTAATCCCGCCCCAAGGACTTGAGTGTTGCTGGAGCAACATGCCAAGTTCCATGCCTTGTGTGCTTGTGCTTTGTATCCTGACCCGTTCGACTCATAGACTGCTTTCCTGGACTTCATGTTTGTTCCTTGGGCTCGGTTCCCACTGGCTCTTCCTGTGCTGAGTTCAGAATCCAAACCTGCACAATGGGGGTGCTTTCTGATGACATGTTTGGAGGGGGTCTGAATAAACACCTGTAGAACTCTTGCTGTATGTGCGTGTGTGTGAGGGAGTGGGGCAGCACAGCAATACTGCATTCTAATCATTGCACCACCAGGGCTCCTAACAGAAAATTACAGTATATTTTACTTAACCAATTGATTATTTTATGGACAATTAATAAAATATTAACACTAGATTTTTTTTTTCTTGAGTTAAATATAAACTTGTAGTGAGATGAGCAGCAAACAAACAAATAAATAAATAGTAATACCATATTAGCAATTGAATTTACTTTTTTGATATGACTGTCAAAGTAAAGTAGAGGCCATGTGACACTTTAGGAAATATAGCTAGAGTTAAAATTGGAAATAATGCATTTTAATTGTGAAGGTCAATTTGTTTTTGTTTCCAGGGAATCCTGTCCACATTAATCTATCTGTTAAAGAGCCACTATGTGCCACAAAGAATTATGGAGGATATTTTAGAACATATCGTTAGTTCATGCCAGGATCTTGTGAAACCTCTTGGGCTCACTTGTCATCATGTATGAATTCCCTTACAGTTTGTTCACTGCAGAAAGCAATCTGTATTTCATATTACTAATTGTTCATTCAAACTTTATTCCTTCCAGACTTCAAAGAAACCACCAGAGAATATAACTAAAACAATATACTAACATAAAATTATTAATCTGTCTATTTTTTTCTACTGTATTTTCTATATTTTAGAAAAACAGGATTTCTTTTTCTCTTTATTTTATAATTTAACCATTAAATGAATTTTATACATACATCAGCGGTTCTCAACCTATGGGTTGCGACCCCATTTGGGGTCGATCGACCATTTCACGGGGGTCGCCAAGCAAGGCTGTCCGCCATTTTTTTCCCCTTTTCCGGCGGGTGCCTTATCTCCCTTGGGCTGGGCCAGCTGGTGGTCGGCCTGCTCCGTCTCTGCCGCTTGCCAGCTACGCCTCGGCCGGTGCAGGGGGCAGAACCATGCATGCGCGGCGCTCCCGGGCAGGGAAAGTCGACTTACGACCGGTTGGGTAGTCCTTGACTTACGACTGGTTTAGTCCTCGACTTACGACCAGTTTAGTCCTCGACTTACGACTGGTTGGGGGTCGTGGCATTAAAAAGGTTGAGAACCACTGACATACATTAAGATGTTTTTTATATAATCTGCCTTTAATTATTGGAAATATTTTGTCTTTTATTTAATTTGTTTTTAAAGATATGTTAACAATAAACAAATGTTATTTTATTCAACACAAAATTATATATTTTTTTCCAGTAGTGAACTCTGCATGACATTTATTTGACTGCTCTATAAGAAAATACTAAATTATCTATTCGGTCTACACATTTGCCTATATACTTGCCTATAAAGTCGCCAAGAGTCAAACAACAACAAATATAAAATAAATAAATACATATGTTTTCAAACTGTAATATTATGATTATTTTAAAAGTCTGTAAAACAGAATGTCACATATTCAGAAAGAATTGTGAATTAAATATCACTGAAATTATTACTTACCTCTACATGTTGACAAGTTTGAATTAATTTAGCCAAAAGTGTTTCCAGTTCAGTGTTTCTTTTGATAAGGCTGGTAAGATTACTTTCTAAATTTTGCTGTATTAAAAAAAAAGAAGAGTTGGTATAGTACTTAGCATTACATATAAAATAAAAACAGTACATGTAAATAAAATTATTTGAGAAATTAAAATAAATTGGTCTTCAAATATTTGTTCATTGCTTGGAAGGAAGATGATTTGCCTGCAAATATATATTCCATATATATATATATAAATTATATTTATAAATATAAATATATTCTAACATATGGCAGTGAAACATGGACACTAACCTCACTATTGATACAAAAGTTAAGAGTGGCACAAAGAGCCACGGAAAGATACATGCTTGGCATTACAAGACAAGATAGAAAGACCTGCACATGGATTAGAGAACAAATAAAAGTATATCTTCAAGAGAGTAAAAGAATTGAAATGGAAATGGGCTGGTCACATACAGTAGCAAGAAGAACTGATGGCAGGTAGACCAAAGCAGTCACAGAATGGATCCCACTTGATACAAAGCATCCATGAAAGAGACCTAAAACAAGATGGACCGGCGATATCAGCAAGTATTGGAGGCCTAATTGGCAAAAGAAAGCTCAGGACCGTATTAGTTGGAAATATGTGGAAGAGGCCTTTATCCTGCAGTGGATAGAAAATGGCTAAAATGATGATGATAAATATAAATATTATAAATATGAATATAAATACAATAATACAATGTATACAATATATACATTCCATATATATTTGGAGCTCATCATCCTGGCCTTCTCACATCAGGGCTACTCCTCTCAATTCAGAGTAGAAGTCATAATTATATCCTTAATTAATAGCTATTACTATATATCTTCTCAGTAGCAGTTATATATATCAAAACCAAAAACATACACACACACACACACACACACACACACACACACACACACACATATATATATATATATATACATACACACACATACATACATACATACATACATACATACACATGGCTTTTTTTTGTCATAGAACGCCCAGAACAGAGTTCCGGTACCTTTTTGGGGTGGAACCTTGTAGGATAGGCAAGGCGGGTTATATGACGTGTGTGATTTCTGGCACCTTTTTTTTTTTTTTTTTTCAAAAAAAGCACTGTGTGTGTGTGTGCACTTACACACACACACACACACACACACACACACACACAGATGCTCACACTCACATAATATTTAGAAACAAGTATGCCTAACTTCTTCAGACAAGTTATACCATTGCTCTTCCATCCACAAACCAAATTCTCTTCAGAATAAGGCCTCTATACCAGGGCTTTTCAACCCTATACGGGTACCACCTGTGGTACATTAGCACCTGGCAGGTGGTACACGACCATCCTAGAAAAGTGGTAGCGGGGGAGGGGAATGAACTGAACCGGTGGCAGCACCGCACAAGCCTGAGCGAGAGATGGCTGGAGCTGCAGGGCTGTCAAGGCTCAGTGGAAGCGCCAGGATCAGTGCTGCTTTCCAGCTGATTGGTGCTTTTGGGGGGCTGTCAGGGCTCAGTGGAAGCGCCAGGATCAGCGCCAGGCTCCAGCTGGAGCTCAGAGCTGATCCTGGTGCTTCTGCTGAGCCCTGAAGAAGCACCAATCAGCTGGAAAGCAGCACTGATCCTGGTGCTTCTGCTGAGCCCAGAAGAAGCGCTGATCAGCTGGAATGTTGCAGCATCTCCAGGCTCTTGTGATTTACATTCAGATGCTTGGCAACTGATTTATATTTATGATGGTCACAGTGTCCCAGAATCATGTGAAGTGACCAAAACCTGCTGCAACCACCGAGCAGACGGGGGAATAAAAACCAAACACCCCCTCACCCCACCCCCACTGCCAATCCTCAACAGAAATGCTCACAACAATGAAAACCTCAGACAGGAGGAAGAGCGCCGCCAGGTGGGCAGGCAGGTGTCTTGCTCGGCTGTGGCTTTTTCAGTGCCATTGTAACTTTGAACAGTCACTAAGCGAACTGTTGTAATCGAGGACTACCTGTACTTTATCACCTTTTTTCTTTTTTTGGGGGGGGGGGTCATCAAGTTTTTGACACCTTGTTAGGCGACTGGTGGTACTCGGATGTTGCCATATCCTAAAATTGGTACAATGGGTGAAAAGGTTGAAAAGGCTTGCTCTATACATTCAAGATACAAATTTCAGAAAGATCAGAGGAAAACAGAATTGTGCACCAAATCATTTTACTTATGTACTGCTCACTTCCTTTTCACTGAATAACACTATTAATGAATTATATTAATATAAGTAAATTATTATTTGTCTGCAGTCTGTTTAATAAATGATGAATGCACCTTTGTTAGTTTTTATTCTGCATTACTCTTATTCACTGAAGACTGAAGACTCAATTTCATTCTCTAGCACAGTGATGGCGAATCTTTTAGAGACCGAGTGCCCAAACTGCAACCCAAACTCCACTTATTTATCATCGGGTGCCAAGTGGGCGTGGCCCACTGGGTGGGCATGGCCACTGGATGGGCGTGGCTGCAGTGCTCATGGCAGACTGGGTGGGCGTGGCTGAGGTGGGCGTCACCACCTCGATATTGCTCGTGGGGAGGGATGCCTGTGAGGGCCGGGCAGGATTGGGGGAGATCCAGGGGGTCTCTGGTGGGTGGGATGGTGGGCAGGAGGCATGTCCTATGAGGTGAGGCGAGGCAGGGCAGGGATGCCATTGCCACAGGGCAAGGCAAGGCAAGGCAGTTGTCAGGGCAGCTGCTGCCTGACACCATTGGCCCCGCACACAGCGAGTACATAGGAGCCAACAGTGTCCGTCAGCAGCCACAGCCTGCCGCCCCCTCGACCAGTGCACTCTGGGGCTCCCTGGCCCGCTGCGAATACCGAGCCAGCCCTCCAGCAGCAGGCGGAGTAGGGGAGGGGGGAAGTGCGTGATGCAGATTGCCGGACATCTGTTTTTGCTTGCAGGTTGGAGAGCAGGTTGCTGCTGTTCATCTCCTTGGCCCCCTCGCAGATCTTGCCCTTGGCCCGCATGTGGAGCCTGTTCCCCTCGCACACCCGATGCACCTTAGTCCTGCCTCTGGCCCCGCTGCCAGCAACTCGTGCAGGTCCATTAGGCTACCACCACTGCCTGGAGCACCTGGACCGCCCAGCACAAAGGAGGTGAAACGGCCGGCTAGCAAGCTCGAGTAGAGGTAGTAGAGCATGCCCATACCCAGCAAGCCAAAGGCCACCCCAAGCAGAGAAAGCCGGATCTCCATCGGTGCCATGCCCCCCCCAGTCCCAGTTAGGCTTGTGTGCCTCCCCCATTTCTGCTGGGCCTGGGCAGCCATGACGTCAATAGGGATCTGGCTTTTCCCGCTCAGGGTGGCCTTTTGCCTGCTGGCCCTGTGCATGCTCTACCATATCTACACGGGGCTTCCTAGCTGACTGCTTCACCTCTTTCGTGCTGGGTGGGCCTGCAGCTCTGGGCAGTGGCCTAGTGCAGGACATTTCAACCTTTTCATCCATTGTACCACTTTTAGGATATGGCAACATCCGAGTACCACCAGTCGCCTAGCAAGGTGTCAAAAACTTAATGACCAAAAAAGGAAAAGGGTGATAAAGTACAGGTAGTCCTCGATTACAACAGTTCGCTTAGTGACTGTTCAAAGTTACAATGGCATGAAAAAGCCACAGCCAAGCAAGACACCTGCCTGCCCGCCTGGCGGCGCTCTTCCTCCTGTCTGAGGTTTTCATTGTTGTGAGCATTTCTGTTGAGGATTGGCAGTGGGGGTGGGGTGGGGGTGTTTGGTTTTTATTCCCCCATCTGCTGGGTGGTTGCAGCAGGTTTTGGTCACTTCACATGACCCTGGGACACTGTGACCGTCATAAATATAAATCAGTTGCCAAGCATCTGAATGTAAATCACAAGACCCTGGAGATGTTGCAACATTCCAGCTGATCAGCACTTCTTCTGGGCTCAGCAGAAGTGCCAGGATCAGTGCTGCTTTCCAGCTGATTGGTGCTTCTTCAGGGCTCAGCAGAAGCACCAGGATCAGCTCTGAGCTCCAGCTGGAGCCTGGCGCTGATCCTGGCGCTTCCACTGAGCCCTGACAGCCCCCAAAAAGCACCAATCAGCTGGAAAGCAGCACTGATCCTGGTGCTTCCACCGAGCCCTGACAGCCCTGCAGCTCCAGCCATCTCTCGCTCAGGCTTGTGCGGTGCTGCCACCGGTTCAGTTCATTCCCCTCCCCCGCTACCACTTTTCTAGGATGGCCGTGTACCACCTGCCAGGTGCTAATGTATTTATTTTATTTATTATTTATTATTTATTAATTGAATTTTTACCCCGCCCTTCTCCTTGCGGACTCAGGGCGGCTGACAGCCTGATAAAAACAACTACAGAAATACCCCAAAAACTATCATTAAAACAAAGTTAAAATAAAATATTAAATTTGGCCTTGTTAATTATTAAAATTGCTTTTAAAACCCCTCTAAAAATTTCCCCTTAGGCCAGTCCTGCTTGTTGGAAGAGCCATGTCTTAAGGGCGCGGCGGAAGGAGGGGAGATCTGGGATCACCCGGATCTCTGGAGGTAGTTCGTTCCAGAGGGTGGGAGCTCCCACCGAGAAGGCCCTCCCCCTGGGAGTCGCCAGCCGGCACTGTCTGGCTGACGGCATCCTGAGGAGACCCACTCTGTGGGAGCGTACCGGCCGATGGGAGGTAATCTGTGGCAGAAGGCGGTCTCGGAGATATCCAGGTCCGATGCCATGGAGCGCTTTGAAGGTGATAACCAACACCTTGAAGCGCACCCGGAAGGCCACCGGCAACCAGTGCAGCTCGCGCAGCAACGGTGTTACATGGGAGCGACGAGTCCCTCCCAACACCGCCCGCGCGGCCACATTCTGGACCAGTTGGAGCCTCTGGGTGCTCCTCAAGGGAAGCTCCATGTAGAGAGCGTTACAGAAGTCCAGGCGGGAGGTGACGAGGGCATGGGTGACTGTGCGCAAGGCGTCTCGGTCCAGAAAAGGCCGCAACTGGTAAATCAGGCGTACCTGATAAAACGCCCCCCTGGTCACGGCCGAC